TCTGCCTAGGGAGCAGCTGACATCATTCTCCTCTCCCAACTGAAAATTCCAACTGCCTTGCGGGGGGGGGGTGAGTTTCAGGTGTGGAATGGAGTGTAGTCCAATCAGCTTCCATATGTAAATGACCTTGGAACGCTGGCCGGGACTGCACAAAGCAGCCAATGAACCCAGCCAGTGTCTTCCGAGTGGCAGTTTTTTCGGCCTAACACTAAAGGAGTGCATTTTAGAACTTTGGCACCCAAAACTCTTTTATTATAAGGGAGAGATGTGGTTGGTGCAGCCAAAAAGGAACTGTGGTGACTCAAGTGGTTAAGATGCTGAACTGCAGGCTGTGAAAGGTCAGTAGTTCAGCAGTTCGAGGCCCGGGTGCCACATGACGGAGTGAGCTCCCGTCTCTAGTTCCAGCTCCTGCCAACCTAGCAGTTCGAAAGCAAGAAATTGCAAGTAGATAAATAGGTACCACTTTGGTGGGAAGGTAACAGCAGCCAAAAATGACTGCTGCAGGAGGTGGAGCCAGCCAAAAAGGCATAACCACAGCAGACCTTCAGTCACACAGTGAAGATCCTTGTGATGTGCTTGCAGCTGCTGCCAAAGGGTTTTTTAAAAATATAATCTGCACAACTGACCAGAAGCCTTGTTGGGCAAAAGTCCCACCTGGCCGCACCTACTTTCTAAAAATACTTGGTGGTCACTAGGAAAAGTGCTGGTGGACATTGTGGTGTTCGTGGGCACCACGCTGGGGACCCCTACCCTAGGTGATGTGTTCTTTCATATATGAAAAATTTAATATCTAATCTCTTTATAGCACATCATGCCATTTGCCCATCTTGACAAGTGCTCTGACTGCCTCTACCTCACTAGTATCTCAGGCACAGGCGAACGTTTCTCTGCCTCCTGCCTTCCCTTTGACACCCTTACTTCCATATCTCGACACTCACTCCTACCCACTGTTCACTATGGCAGTTACAAGAAGGATTCATAAATGGAAATTTACCCATACAGTATTAACTGTTGAACAGAACTGGTTTAACAGTACCTCCAGTGCACACACACACTGCTGCCAAAACAAAGCTTCATAAAAATCTGCACAGCAAATCAGATCTCAAATGGACAATCAGAAACCTGCTGAAAAGTCACCTCTAGGCCACCAATTTCAACAAACACTTGGTGGGCATCCAGAAAGGTGTCTGGAGGTGCCATGGCACCCATGGACACCATAGGGTGGGCTGTGCACATTTAACCTGTTTCTGCATGGGTTCTATGGGGCTAATTCAAGAACAGATCTTGGAAGACAAAATGATTTAAAATAAAAATTATTTTGACTCATCCTTTCCACCATACAGAACTATGCAACAAAAGTGATGGAGCAAGTACATAAATATAGCAGTGAACATGAAATCCAATAGACAGTCTCTCTGAGTTCAATTAAACAACTGGGTTTTGATTGCAACACTTTGTGGTAAGTTAAGGCTTCTTCTCATCCACTCCTGTTTCAAATAGCTTAAACCAGACTCAATCTCCAGCTTGAAAAATATAGTCCTTACAAAAGGTGATAAGAACCCTGAAACTTTTTAAAAAACTCCCCAGCAACCATTCCCTTCCTCTGCTGCTAAGCTCCATACATTCACTCAGCTCCTTCTGGGCTAAACCATTCCACTCTGCAGTTTGCAATTCCAGTTGCAGAGCACCGATTCTAATCCCAGAAGCCATCATTCCACTCTGGGAATTGTCATTCAAGTCCCAGAGCACACATAATACTGAAAGGGAATGTCATTTCACTCTTAGGGCTGTCATTCCAGTCCCAGAACACTTTTGCGACTCCCAGGGTCCCTCATTCCACACTGCAATCTGTCATTTCAGTCCCAGCATACTTCTGTTACTCCTGGGAGGGAGCTGTCATTCTAGTCCCATAATACTTCCACTACTCCCAGGGGCCATCATTCCACTGGGAGGGGGCTACCAATCCAGCTCCAGAACAATTCTGCTACTCCTAAGGGCTGTCATTCCAGTTTCAGAACACTTCTGCTACTCCCAGGGGCCCTCATTCCACTCTGCGACCTGTCATTCCAGTCCCACAACATTTCTGTATTCCCAAAGTCCATCAGTCTACTGGGGGAGGGGTTGTCATTCCAGTCTCAGAGCAGTGGTTCTGTTCCCCGGGACTGTCATTCCGCTCTGCAGGTTGTCATCCCAGTCCCAGAGGAGTCTATCTAGGCCCAGAGACATTCATTAAAACTCTGTTCTGCATTTTCATTGCAACCTTTTTGTGCTGTAATGTATTTTAGAGAAGCCCATGGAAGTCAATTGGCATTCCTAACAGTTGATAGAGGCCTTCAAGCCCCGCCCATTGTTTCCAATGGGCAAGCCTGTCATTCCTTTTAGTACATGCTCAGAATGATGTGGGGTAAAGCCTGGGTTTAGGATGCCAACCCAGCCTGGCTTCTCTTCCAATACTGCCCGTTTCTGATTCCTATTACCAGTGATTCCTATTACCAGCATCAGCATAATGCTGCAGTGATTCCACTCTACATAGACAGCCTATGTCTGCATTTCACTAGCATGGGGGTATACGCACCATCCCAGCAAAGTTGCAGGATGGCGGTCGGATTTCAGTCCCCCTGAGTAGTTTGTTTTTATTTTGTAGCCAGATAAATTATTATTATTATTATTATTATTATTTGCAATATAACTACAAAATAACGATTTGGTTTTTAAAAAAGAGCAGCCCAGCGGAGAAAGGTTAGTCACGCTGAAAATCTCCGGGGCAGCAACCACCGGAATCCGCAGCAGCGGAGTGGCTGTCCACGTGGGCCAGCCCGGCGCCAAATCGTGGATGTTTAAAAACCACCAGCAATCGGACGTCAAAAGGGACAAACCCGCCAAGGACATCCCTCCTTCGTGGAACGAAATAATACGGGCCAGTTTACTTCCCCGCACAGGAAGCTCAAGAGCCCTTTTAGTGCCCCTCCCCGGTTGCTTTCGGCCGCTCTGACGCGGGCCGCACCCAGCCCCTTCGGGGAGGAAGTCGGCTTCTAGGGCGTGCGTCGGGGTGGGGGATGAAGGCGGGCTTGGCGGCCGATTTGGCCTCGATCAATCGGAGCGGCGGTGCAGGTGCAGGCGCCCAATCACAGCTCCCGAAATGGCGGCGGGCGCAATCAGCGTTGCAGAGGGGCGGGACAGGAGGGACTCCGGCTACAGAGTGGAGAGTGAGGCTTGAGGCCGCCGGAACGGGTCGGGGACGGGAAAGCCGGACAGGACGGGGAGGGACCGGCCGGCTCTGGGAGTGGCTCTGCTGGTCAGACTCGTCAGCGCGGCGCTTCGTGGGGTGAGTGGGGGCAGTGTGCGGGCACGCGCAGGCGTGAGGAGTGGGGGGGGAAGCCCACCGAGGGGAGAGGGGGGACGCCGAAGGGGCGGCGGCGGCGGCCGTTTGTTCCCTTGCGCTGGGAGATGGGTCGAGGGAGAGGCGTTGTGGACGCTGCTGCTGTCGTAGCCTGAAAGCGAGCGAGGGAGAGCGTGAGAGGGGGGAGCCTCCCAGCAGCCTGTCAGCTAGACTTGGACGGCCGAAAGAGTCTGGCTCACCCGTAAGACTTAACGCTGCTTCTGGAGTGCGCTGGGAGATGGGTCGAGGGAGAGGCGTTGTGGACGCTGCTCCTGTCGTAGCCTGAAAGCGAGCGAGGGAGAGGGGGGAGCCGTTCCGCCTCCCAGCAGCCCTGTCAGCTAGACTTGGACGGCCGAGAGAGTCTGCTTCACCTGCAAGACTTAAGGCTGCTTCTGGAGTTGCTGGTGGTGCCCCCAGTGCCCGGCGTCATAGCTGCGCTGGATCAGTTGCAGAGTGATGAGGCGTGACTGTGGAATCACCTCCCTGCCTCTGATGAGGAGGAAAACATTCCCTTGGGAAGGAAGGTAGCTTCCTGGTCATCCCTTTGTATTCCTAAATTGTGGTCACCAGCCCAGAGTGATTCGGAGCACAGAATGGTGGCTGGCCACCCTCCCCCCTTCCAGTTCCTGATCAAGAGGACCATGTCTTCTGAACATGCAGGGCTGTCTTGTCTTCTCAGCTGGGGAAAAGGCCTGGGTACGGGTGATGGCTTGCCTCTTGCAGCTGATAGTGTGGGGTTAGGTTGGTTGAGTAGGTCAAGAAGGGGTGTGTGTGGCTATTTGCATTGGCCCCCCGCAAGGATCCATCATGCGCTTCATTCTGTTTAACGTCGATATGAAACTGCTGGAAGAGGTCCCCGTGGGATTTGGAGTGCAAAGCCACCAATATGCAGATAACCCCCAGCTCCATTTCTGAGTGAGTTTGTGGAAGTCTTGAACCAAATGCTTACAGATGGTGAATGGGATGAATGACAGTCAGTTAACTGAGTCCCAATCCAGACAAAAGTGAGGTACTGTTAGTCAATGAGAAAGCCTCCTGATTGAGGAATCAGCGTGTTCTGGAGGGGGCTGTACTCTTCCTGAAGGATTAGAAAGATTGCATGGGAGTGCTGCCGGATCCTGGACTATGTTTGGCCTCTCATGTCTCCACCATACTCCTTAGATCTTTCTGCTCGGTTCAGCTAGCTTCTGTTTGTCAGGAGGCTTGATTTGGTCACAATGATCCACACTCTTACTACACCTGTTAAGAGTACTGAAATGTGCTGTGTGTGGCTGCTCATGGTAACTTCAGCTGGTCAATAGATGGTAGCCTGGCTATTGTTGAGGGCTAAATACAGGTACGAAAGGATCAGCATTGATTGTTGATCTGTTTCTGGGCAAAATTTGAAGTACTGGTTCTTATACATCGTGGGGCCTGCAGTGTTGAAGGATTACCTCCTGCTGTATTTAGCCCCCTAGTTAAGCGAGCCAGTGTGGTGTAGTTGTTAGATTGTGGGAGCAGGATCTGGGGGATACAAGTTCAAATCCCATTTCTGCTATTCAAGCTTGCTGGGTGACCTTGGACCAGTCACTCATGGCCTTACCTCTGTCTCACGGGGTTGTTGTGAGGATAAAATGGAGGGGAAATAAGAACACCTAAAGAATGTTGACTGATACCTCATCGATGTAGTTCTCTGTTTGCTTATTTAATCAGAAATGGTAACCCTCGGCTTCCGGTCTGGCTCCCGCGAAAGGCGGACGCATCCTTGGGTCGCTCCCGAGGGGCGTCTCGCCCGCCCGCGGTGGAGGAGGGAATCCGCGCGAGCGGAGACCCGAACGAGCCCCTCAGGATGTGAGGAGCTCGGATCCGGGGCGCTTTAGGGCGCTCGAGGGGGGAGTCTCGCTCTCAGCCGAGAGGTTGGAGACGAGGCGCCCGCCATGCCCTGCCCCTTTGGACCTTGCTGCGTGAGCGATCCCGTTTTACGGGGTTTAGCGGAGCCACCAGACGTCACCGAGTGATAAAGCGATCATCCGAAAAAGTTGAAAAAGAAAAGATCGGCCTAACTGTGAGTTGTCAAAATGCAAAGAAAAAGATCTAAAACCGCTTCCCCCCCACCCAGCGAAAAAGGCGAGGAGGTTAACCCTCTAACTGCATAAGCGAAAAAGAAAAGGAGGGGGGGAATGGACTGAGCGAACAGTGATGTTTTCCCTTGATGTATTTGAAATAAAGCGAGAGAAAGTTTTGTCTCTCTGGAGCACAATTTAAGAACTTTCTAAAAGTAAACAAAAAAGAAAAGATGTCGGAGCTGGGCAAAAACGAGCGGAGGAGAAGGGAGGGGCTTCCGTCTGGGCGTTTGCTTGTGTGTGAGAGCCGGCTGTTTAGTGTTTTGGACTGTTTATGGTTGTGAATCCGATGGGAGTTTTGTAAAATGGAAAAGTTTGAACTGTGACAGCGAGGAGTGCCTGGCAAGCGCTTATATACGTCCAGTTTCGAGGAGGACCCAATAGAGAGTTTGGGAGCGGAAATAAAAGCGAAATGAAATTAATACCATTCTCAAAGTTGGGGACCTCCAAGGCATGAAAGGAAGAGGATTTATAGTGCATGAACTGAGTGTGTTAACAGCAACCCGAAGGAGGATTTAACAAGCCGGAAGTAGAAGACAACAGAGGAAGCCCCTTCACGTCAGCGATAGTAAAGGTGCCCAGCACGCAAAGAAGCGGGTCTGACTGTGTCCAGAAGAGATTTTTCTTTTTTTTATTAACAGAAACTCAAGGGAACTCAAGGGAACATTAACAGAAATTCAAGGGAACATTACTAACATATTAACAGAGAATTATATGTGACTGAACTAAGAAAAGAAGTTTGACAACACACAGAAGAAGCCCAAGAAGATTAATTGGACATTACTAACAGTTTAATTTACCAGTTTATATATCACTCAGCTTTCTCTTTCTCCCGCTGTCTACCCTTCCCTTTTTTTTCTTTTAAGCGAAATACCTCCCCTTTTTAGGGGAGCTAATAAAATCTTTACAAAAAAAAAAAAAAGAAATGGTAACCCTCATCTTCATAGGTCACCACATCACTTGCATTACTTGTTATAGTTCCATACTAGATTGGTTATTATAATATCTCTTCTACCTTGTTGGAGAAGGCACAGAAATAAACATTTTAGCTTTGTGGTTTTGGTGGGGAGTTGCATCTTTGTGTGTGTATGTGCCCATGCCTGGACGTCATGGCGACTTCTGGTGACTCCTACTGGGACATGGAGGATGTTCAGAGAAGTGCCTTGATAGGCTGCCTCTTCCTCCCACTCTGGTATTCTTTGGAACTCTCCCATCCAGATACTTACCAGGGTCGGCTCTGCTTAGCTTCCGAGATGTGACGAGATTGGCCTTGCTTGGTCTATCCAGGTCAGGGCATAAACATTTTAGCTTTGGCTGTGCAGGTTAAATCAGAACCAGTCACATGGCTTCATAATGTGATTTTTTAATATTTGGATTATTACATGTAATTAGAAATGTGAAAGTGTCGAGTTTGCCTAATACAGCGGTTCTCAACCTGTGGGTCGGGACCCCTTTGGGGGGGTCGAACGACCCTTTCACAGGGGTCGCCTCAGACCATCGGAAAACACAAATAATTACATATTGTTTTTGTGATTAATCACTATGCTTTAATTATGTTCAATTTGTAACAATGAAAATACATCCTGCATGTCAGATATTTACATTACGATTCATAATAGTAGCAAAATTACAGTTATGAAGTAGCAACAAAAATAATTTTATGATTGGGGGTCACCACCAGTGTTCCCTCTAAGCTGAGTTAGTGTGAGCTAGCTCACAGTTTTTTAGCCTCCAGCTCACACATTTTTGTCTTCGCTCAGGAAGGAGGGCTCCAGAGCAAACTCATTTATGCAGTAGCCAAATCGATTGCTCACAGCTTTAATGCCAATCGCTCACAAAGTAGAATCTTTGCTCACAAGACTCCACAGCTTAGAGGGAACATTGGTCACCACAACATGAGGATCTGTATTAAAGGGTTGCGGCATTAGGAAGGTTGAGAACCACTGGCCTAATACATTGGCAGTGGCTCCCATTTGTTGCTGTTAATTCTATGAAACAATGAATCTTTAGGAAGTACTGATTTTTTTTAACAAAGTAGGTAATCTTCAGAAATATTTTCTACCTCAGATTTCCAAAAAAGCAAGCAAGCACTGAATCATCCATGAATGCCTCAAGTTGCCAGTGTTTCTGGAACAATTCTTATTCCTTTCTTGCCTTGTGTGGAGGAATTTTGCTGCTTGATGGCTGGATTGTTACTCTCTGGAACAGTCCCTTTTGTGGTGCCTCTGAAGCTGGTATTTGGTATAAAATGGATGCCGTTGCTGCTTGTTGTTTCTTTAAAAATCTCTGCAGTATTTTTTTGCAGAATTTCACCTGGAAAGATGGAACATGCTGTTTCTTCTTGACCTCCTTAGAAAGTAGTGGTAGCATATACTCATAGAATCACAGTGTTGGAAGGGGCCATACAGGCCATCTAATCCAATCCCCTGCTCAATGCAGGATCAGCCCTAGAACATCCCTAGGCAGCTGATTCCACTGTTGCACTACTGTAAAAAAGTTTTTCCTAATATCCAGCTGGTACCTTCCCGCCCTTCATTTAAACCCATTATTGCAAATCCTATCCTCTACTGCCAACAGGAAAAGCTCCCTGCCCTCCTCTAAGTGACAGCCCTTCAGATACTTCAAGAGAGCAATCATGTCCTCCCTCAACCTTCTCTTCTCCAGACTAAACATTCCCAAGTCCCTCAGCCTTTCCTCATAGGCTGCTCCATTCTGTCCACATCCTTTATGAAGTGAGGCCTCTACAACTGCACACAATACTCCAGATGCTGCCCGAACAATGCAGTGTACAACAGCATTATCACATTTTGCGATTTGGATGTTATGCCTCTGTTGCTACACCCC